CAGCAGAGAAATTGGAGCGCTGCCAAATGGAGGCTGCTCTCCCATGTGAAGTCAAACATGATTAATGAATCACTTCCTGACAGGATGACAGGACAGGTTGACAGCTGATGTCTCCCTCATGATACATCAGTCAGGTAAAATACTTTTGCTCACAAGACAAGGGCATTAGCTGCAGCTCCCAGGAGGAAACCATTGCATTTGGGAGCTAAATATAGCTTCATTCTGTGATAGTGCTTTTTCCTGGAGCTATGAACTCGGTTGTTGTTTTGCAGAAAAATCATGATTACCTTAACTATGAAACATTTTAAATGATATTGTAAATGTCAACTTTATTTCAAAACTGACTGAAACCATTTGAATAATTGGTTTATTGTTTATTACAATTATTTATGAAACAATAAAAGCCAAAAATGAATTGTTTTCAGTTTGTAAAACGTAATAATGTGTGGCTTTTATGTTTAATAAAATGTTTGACTGTTGGTTGAAGAGGTATAATATTACATTACATTGCATTTAGCTGACGCTTTTATCCAAAGCGACATACAATAAGTGCGTTCGACCAACAAAGTACAAACTTGAAGAAAACAGAATCATATAAGTACATCAGGTTTCATAGAGCTAAAACATTTCAAGTGCTACTCTACTGGCTTTAGATAAGTCAGTCCTTTATTAGTATATAAGTGCTTTTTTAATAGTTCTATCGCTCAAAGTGGAGTCGAAAGAGATGAGTTTTCAGTCTGCGCCGGAAGATGTGTAAGCTTTCTGCTGTCCTGATTTCAATGGGGAGCTCATTCCACCATTTTGGAGCCAGGATAGCAAACCCACGTGTTTTTGCTGATGGGAACTTGGGTCCCCCTCGCAGTGCGGGTGCAGCGAGCTGTTTGGCTGATGCAGAGCGGAGTGCACGTGCTGGGGTGTACGGTTTAACCATGTCCTGGATGTAGGAAGGGCCAGATCCATTCGCAGCATGGTACGCAAGTACCATTGTCTTGAAGTGGATTCTAGCAGTTACCGGAAGCCAGTGAAGGGAAATGAATAAAATACAAACATATTTCAGTATTCTGAGCCCCATTTATTTTCCTCACGGATGGCAATAAAGTCCGACATTATACAATTTAAAATATAACTGTGGCTTGATATTAAGTAAGCAAATGTTTTTATGAACCACGCACATTCCTGTCTTCCAAAAGACGTGGTGCAGGCACGAAACATACTACCAATAGAACAACATACTTTTACAATCGTTCTGTGTGACACGAAAAAAAGAGGAANAGCTCCGCTCCGGCCTTCCCGCGCTATGCGCGCGACCTGCAAGTGTTTTACCTCCTGGCATACTGTCATTCTCTCATTAGAATGCCCAGGTCACACAAAATAAAACACTTGCAGGTCGCGCGCATAGCGCGGGAAGGCCGGAGCGGAGCTGTTTTATGTAGAAGCGAAGCAACTAAGCTCGCTCCGACTTCTTTATTTTCTTTTAATCTAAAAAGCAAAATATTCAGTCAGACAGCAATTTATTGTAAAAGTAAAGCATTTACAATTTCAAGCACTTTATCTCAAATCCAAGCACCATTCCCAAAATTCAAGCACTTTTCAAATCATGAAAACACCTCGTAAAAATTCAAGCATTTTCAAGGATTTCAAGCACCCGTACGAACCCTGCATATGAAACAGAACTGTAAACAGATCTACTTTTTCTTTATGGATATTTTACAAATCACCCTTTTAAACTTTATTCTTGTTTTACTGTCATATAGTATTTCATACCTGTTTTTCATTTATTCTCTTATTTTTTTATAACTATAATGATCATATAAACGTGTGCCTCGGAAATAATTGTTTACATTAATGGTGACCCACTGAGATAACACTGAGAGAGTCCTTTAGTTCACTGAGCCTNCATTGTTGTTGTCGGTGTCAGCTGTGAGGGGTTTCCGCGCGCTTTGGCTTTATGAAGCAGGCACGCAAACGGTTACGTCATGACGCAAACGATGACGCAATTACGCAGCACCAGTCGGACACTGGGCAGTGTGAAAAGAGTCTGAGCTAAACCCGAAGAACTGGTTCTGAACCTGAAAATCTCTAGCACGGAGCTTGAACCGGAATTGCGTTGGTGTGAATGAGGTATATTAGACCCTCCAGAAAAACGCGGGCAAAAATCCTTGATTATGCGGGCTAAATTCCTTGATTATGCGGGCTAAATTCCTTGATTATGCGATCAAACATGCGGGGTTTTTATGTGATTTTATGCGGTGAAATTGCGGGAAGTTGCGAAATATGCGGAAAGTTGCGAAATATGCTAAATATGCGGGAAAAAAGAATAAAACAATTTTTAAATATTGGGCTGTCTTATTTATTCTCTCTCACACACAACCTGCCACTAACGTTAAACCCCTTTACTATTCAATTAAACACATTCAATATTTATTTATTGTAAAAGCAATTGGGCTATTTTAATCTCACACACACACACACACCCCCACACATACACACACTTCTCCGCCTCATTCTGTTTTCATTTACTCGTTCGTTATCTGACCAGCTTCTTTCTAGGCCTCGAAAGGGTTTTGGAGGTTGATGCCTCGGTGAACCTGCGTTGTTTGGCTTTCTTGTCCGCAGCAGTAGAAAGCATTTTCGAATGTTTGAATGAATCAAAGTGGGTCGTCACCGTCGATTTTCTCTGATGCTCCAACACACAGTTGCACGGGGTGCAGAATAGTTTCCCCCCACTTTTTGCCCGGTCTTTAGTAGAAATGTTCGTCGATAAATGAGATGGATTAGATTTTTTCCTCTTTCGTGTGAGCTCCACACGTTCACTCTATACAGTGTTGTTTACATTCTGTGATGCGCGAGCTGATGACGTCACGTCAAGACGAGTNCTTAATGTGTGTGTGTGTGTGTGTGTGTGTGTGTGTGTGTGTGTGTGTGTACACACACACACACACACACACACACACACACACACACACACACACACACACACACACACACACACACACACACACACACACACACACACACACATTAAGATGCACATGGACTGAAAGCTCGGCCTTGTCTGGTGCAGTCATGGCTGGCTGTGGTCTAACAGAGATATATGGGAGAAGCGAGCTGTGTGGAGAGCAACATTTATCTACAACCCTTTCCCTTTAGTATGCAAGGACAGAGCCAAAGCTTTCGTTGTATCTCTGTATTCTTCACTATCCGCTCGCCCAGGCTGTATAAATGTCAGGAAAGCAGCCAATTAGAGCATATTGACACTTTTATACTTCCTTCAATGTGTTTGTGTGAGAATACGCAGACAATGGATAGTAACACCGTCCTCCACTCACTGACTATAAGTGGTCAGTGTATGAGTAATTGCTGTGTATGTGGAAACAGTTTTAGGTCCTCCACAGACAACAGCTGCTTGGCGATCACTCACTTAGTGGTGCAGACAATAAGAGGAACTGTCCTTGGAGTGGGAGGTGGAAGAAGAAAAAAACATCAAAGAGTGCAAGCAAGATTTTTCCACATGTTTAATGCATGAATTGGGCAGTCTGTGTGAGGCTGTTCAACAAAAAAAAACTTTGCTTCAGAAATTACAAAGAGACAGCAACTGCCTTTATAACCACATCTACTTTGAAAAACAATATGTATTAAGATAGAATGTATGACTTTGCCCTATAAACAATTTTAACGAAAGGAAACAATTATTTCTGAATCTGCCCCGTGATTGGAACTGCTCCAAAATGAAATGGGTTCTTCCGTGGCCCTTTCACAGAGATTCATTAAAAACCATGACAGTAGTTTTTCTGCAGTCCTGCTGACTGTTGCTAGTTGTTACTATTTTTTACTCCTTTTTATTACGCCACAGAGCAACTTTCATAGGAATTAACAGGGTCCACGCTGCTTCCAGTTCTCTTTATATTTTACTGACTGTTACTTATGCAAAAAAAGAGCTTTGTTCACCAAAAATAAATCACCACAAGGTCCATTTCATATACGTTTGCGAGCTTTAGATCTTCCTTGGCACAATTGTCATGAATTGTTGGTTTTGTGATACAACTTTAAGCTACAAAACAGCTACCATGACCTATGATTTGTCAAAAGAGAAAAATGATTAAGAGGATAATGCCACAAGTGTGAAGCCATTCCACAGAATCAGGTGTTTAGTGGAGTTATTACTACAATGGGCCAAAATAGAACCATCTGAACACAATAGCGATAATTCTATTTGCTCTTCTTTCAAAATATCATGTTGTGACATCCTGATGATAAGTCTCAGTATAAAGCATTGTCGGGTTGTATTTTAGTATTGAAGACTGAAGTGCTTCTGTAAGCTGAAGTTAAAAAGAGACTTGTGAAAGACCACATCTCTCAAAACCCACAATTTACCCAGCATGATTTTGGCCTTGCTTTCATACCGTTATACAGCACTGTGTGTATCTATGTGTGCACGTATCTGTGTGTAGGCATGCATTTTAGGGCAGGACATAAACACAAACAAACACACACACACACACACACACACACACACACACACACACACACACACACAGCGGTGGGCTCTCAGTGTGTGAGTGACCCAGACATTTGGCATCTTTCGCGTCAGGGTGCAATCTCTTTCTTTCCTCTCATTCACCTCATCTAACAGAGAGAAAGATGGAGGGAGGTAAGAAGGTAGAAGGTCAGTGGATGGGAGGGAGATGGATAGGGCGTACTGATGATCAAAAAAACAAAATAACAAAGACAGAGGACAAGCAGGGAGGGTGGTGGAAGAGCCATGAAGATGGGAAGGTCTGGCAGGGTGAAATATGGTGAAGCATCGGAGCAGGGGAAGGGAGAGCTGAGGAAAGACAAATGGAGGAGAACTCTGAACAACTGAGACAAAAAAATGTCTTCCTTCATATCCATCAGGAGTCAAAACTCCTAGAGAACTCTACTCCAGTTTCCTAGCAGCATATGTGTGTTGTGGTTTTTAATCCAAACTGAGTTTCTAATCTGTCATCCATTACTTTCTGCCAAACCTCCAGTCTATTTGTATCGAATGTCATAAATAAATGAGTTAATAAAAACCCATAGCATATATGCTTTAAGTTGTTATTTGTTACTTGAGTAATACATTCATATATTATTAAAAGAACTATCCAACGTGTTTGAAAAAATACTTGTGTCTAAGCAAAGGGTGATTGGTGTGGACACATTAAATCCTTCGCTGATTTTGTGTCTGTACTAAAATGGGCATGAGCAGCATTAAAAAAAAAATAGGTGTACATTACATTAGTTAATGCTTAACTCATTAAAAGGGAGTGTTCACTTCATTTTTGGGAACCAAGGTAAAATGAGAATTCTGTTGTCTGGCAATATGTAGCAACAGGGAGCTACTAGTTAGCTTAGCATTAAAACGGGGGGAAACAGCGATCCATCCATTTGTTTCTGCTTTTTCAGGGACAGCAAGAAAAGGGCAACAGGCAAAGTATTGGAGAGAATGGAGACTACCTTTTCTTAGCAACGTTATCCAGCTTCTCCTGGTAAACCGCAAGGCATTCCAATGCCAGACGATATAATCATTACAGGAGGTTCTGGGTCTACCTTAGAGGCTCTTACCAGTTTGGCGTGCACTGATAACCACTAATGGGTTGCCAGAACCACCTCCACCGATGGCTGAAGGAACAATGGCCCCCAACTTCAACTGATATGTTTATTTTGTTATGTTTAAACAAGCTATTTTTGCCTAATTTAATTTCTTATGCTAAGCTAAGCTAACAAGCTGTTGGCTGCACTTCCTAATTATCGGTCATAATTCTGGTGTCCGAATCTAACTCTTGCCAAGAAAGCAAATAAGTGATGTACTCAAGTTAGCTGTCTTAAAACCGGTTTTCCGGTCCTTGTGATGTAAAAGTAATAATTTTCCTGCAGAAGTGTGCAGCCTCAAATGCTTTCAAAACAAGCCTGATTGTATCCGTCTTGAAGAGGTATCAAAATATAACTATTTAGCAAGGTAGGAGATGCCAATTTATCTTCAAATGTGGGCTGAAAGCTCCCGGAACACGTTATATTTTTTCAAAGGAAAACCCATTCCGTTATAGAAGCTGAATATGAGCTGAGTCTAAAAAGTCGAGGAGGTGTGGGACTCTTTAAAATGGATCCTTTTAAGCATTTATTCAACTATGTTTTCTCCATTGGTTTGTGCATGGTTGACCCAGATTTTTAAAAAAATTGATCGCAAGAGTCTACACCAGTATGTATTAACGGAAAATCAATGCCTTTTTAATAGGGAGTATAAATTCCACATAATAAAAATACTCAAGACGATTAAAGTGATTGCAGTACATGTCATATTTAATACCGCCTGGTCTCCACAATGCATTTTCTCTTGCCTGTGGAGATGTAAATATGACACAAACACATGGGGATTCAGGGTTTAAAGGATAACTCTTTGAATCGTTTTTAACAGCTTTCTGATGAGGCAGCATATGTATTTGCGCTATAGTGTGTGAGACAACATGTGGACATTCATTAGATCTGCTTCAAAGACGGTGCAGTCACATACTAATTTTTAGAATATTGCTTACTCTGTCTTTGCATCAACTTGTGATTATGGCACCTCAGGGTTGTAAACAGCCCACTGAACAGGGAATCAATGCTAAGAGGATGAAGAGGCTGAGTTACTGTATAAGAAAAATGCAGTTGAAGAGAGGTGACAGGATCACCTTGACCTCAGTCTGTGCTGTCTGACTGAGTCTGCCCAAACAGAAAAACACAAACAACAAAGGGAGGAAGTTAAATCTAAGGTGACATGCTGACTAAACCGCTCCCTGCTGTTGACCAGCTACAGATTGTGTAGGTCAGGACATAAACACACACACACACACACACACACACACACACACACACACACACACACACACACACACACTGCTGTTTCCTGCCAACTGCTGGTTCTAAATCACACACAAATATGCACACACACGCGCGCACAGCTTCAGGTGACAGAGATTAATAGCCTTACTGACTGACAGATTAACTTCCACTTCCTTTGTGTCACTGTCAGGCCCCCGGGTGAAAGCGTGTCTCAGTGTGTGTGTGTGTGCGTGTGCGTGAAGCCATTATTAGAAGTATAATTGTGGAGACATTTAAAGTGTTTCCCCTCAAGGGCTCTGCCAGCATCCAATAAAGTTTTCTTACCGCAGGAGAGACATAGAACTACTAGAGAGAGAGGAGAAGGAGAGGAGAAAAAAATCGAAGAGGGGGTGCAGGGGTGTAGGCCTACAGCAAGCATATGGTATCCTTCTAGTACACAGTAAAGTCATTCAGAGCAACTTGTATGGTCTTTGTATTTTGATTGTTGCTGTGCGTGGCATCAAAAATTTCACATGTGATTAAGACAGTGGTTCTCAAACTTTTTCTGTCAGGCCCCCCCTTTGGAGACAAAAGGCCCCCCAACACAAATAGTCAGGCTCAGTGGCGGCGCCAGAGATTTATTTTGGGGGTGGTGTCGGGTAGCTTGACGTTTCATAGAGGGTGCTCAAACATTTAGGGTTTCCCATTAATGTACCGGTCCCTACATTGGAATTTTCTACTGCAACAATCCCCACGCACACACACAGTGTACCGACGACTGTTACAATGAAGGCTCGATAATCAGCTCACGGCACATAGGTGTAAGCAGGGGTAAAGTGCTATTTTTATAGGTGTTGTGTGGACCTCACATAGGGGGGTCCGGGGGCAAGCTCTCCGGGGAAGATTTATTTTAAAATATTGAAGTTAAAAGCATCAATCTGGTGCACTTTGAGAGCAAAATTAAGAGATCTATGGATACATCTCTCAACACCCATATGCAGGGTTCTTACACCTTTTCCAAAGTCAAATTCAAGCACTTTTCAAGCATTTTCAAGGTGCATTTTCAAGCTTTTCAAGCAGCGTACAGCTGTTGTAGATTACATATTTATATGCACATATTTATACTCAAATGATTATTTCCCTACCTCACATTAAATCAGATGTTTTCGTCTCACCAGCAGTAGATACCCTCCATCAATTTTGAGCAGAGACCAGGAAAGTGATACCAGTTCGGTAGGCAACTCTCTCCCAAAAGTTCAATTGTCCTTCAATACCACCTCGTGGAGTTTCTCGTAACGTAACTACCGAGTCGCCCCAGTAATTACTGGTACACGTGTCACCAACCCTCCCCGGACGAGACGGTTGTATCGGAGTGTTTTCTCGACGAGGAGAGACGTCGTCGTAGACCCGGTCCGTCCTTTATAGTGTAAATTAGAACTACTGGTTATCTGTAGATGTTCGTTGCTACCTCCTTCTTCTCGTGCTCTCTCCTTTCCTCTACTACCTCCTCTATTGTGTCTACCTTTCGGTTTTCTTCTCTTACCTTCTTCTGTATTCCCAGGAGTACTTCAGACGACTATTATTGCGTCTTTTTCGACTCATCAAGTGTCCTCTTGTGATTCGAAGTAGAGCGTTCAGTCAGTTACCGGAAGCTTCTCGGACGATTCCTTTTCCTTTCTTGTAGACCTCTGAAACCTCCTCTGTCGATGGACTATTTGAGTTCTTGACTCCTCTGTGAGGGATTATCCGACGTACGATAAATCGGAAAGGCTACTAAAGTCACATATTCGGACAACGGAGGAGACCGACGTCGAGCCGTTCCGATTGTGTGTGGTGTGTGTAGTGGGTGTTGTGGGTGTGGTTTGTGTGTGTGTGTGTAGTTGTGTGTGTGTGTGTGTGTACCCGTGTGTGTGTGTGTGTGTGTCGTGCTGTGTGTGTGTGTGTGTGTTGTGTGATGTGTGTGTGTGTGTGTGTGTGTGTGTGTGGTCGATGACTGGGTTTCCTGGAAGGTAAGGTCAGCGGGGGGGGTCCGAGCCGGTGTCAGTCACGAGACATCCGGAGCATCAGCAGCGTCATCAGTCCTTCCGTCCCTTGATTAACAATGACCGACAACATCTACAGCCAAACAAATGGAGTTATCTAAAGATACGACAAACCATATTTCCTTTTTTTCAAATTTTTACCGCCAAACACACAGAGGGTGAAGGCAAAGGAAAGTACCTTTATCAAATAGGACACTAACGAGGACGCCCAACCAAACTCCTACGTAAGTCCCTGAGCACACAAGACGTCTGGTCACCAAGACTAGACTAAATTTTTCACCAAAAATAGTGATAGAATGCTATTTAGTTATAACATTTTTGGTTTTGAGAATGTGTCTTTCTCCTAGAGACGTGTGCGAAAAAAATGTAGTCGAAACACACAAGTTACCAAAACAGGATGGAAACCTCTCGGCATACAAATGACGGTGGGATTTTCCTGGAGTTTTTACATATTTTACAATTATTTCTTCAAAAATAACTTTTCAATCAACCGACTAACAAAATATAACGAGTCGCGTCCAATATTACCCCTAGGGACAGATGATATATACTATACCCAGTGAGGTAAAAATGTTATAATTTGAAAACAAAAGAAAGAATTAGAAATTAAAAAGTAAGAATACATCTTACGATAATGCTTTGTGTGTAAACCAACAAATA